TATTCGTCCCCCTTTCGCTATTACTTTGTAGCGCCACCTTTTGCTGCAATTACAGCTGCAAGTCGCTTGGGGTATGTATCAGTTTTGCATATCGAGAGACTGGAATTCTTGCCCATTCTTCCTTCCTTGCAAAACAGCTCGAGCTCAGTGAGGTTGGATGGAGAGCGTTTGTGAACAGCAGTCTTCAGCTCTTTCCACAGATTCTCGATTGGATTCAGGTCTGGACTTTGACTTGGCCATTCTAACACCGGGATACGTCTATTTGTGAACCATTCCATTGTAGATTTGGCTTTATGTTTTGGATCATTGTCCTGTTGGAAGATAAATCTCTGTCCCAGTCTCAGGTCTTTTGCAGACTCCAACAGGTTTTCTTCCAGAATGGTCCAGTATTTGGCTCCATCCATCTTCCCTGTCCCTGCTGAAGAAAAGCAGGCCCAAAGCATGATGCTGCCACCACCATGTTTGACAGTGGGGATGGTGTGTTCAGGGTGATGAGCTGTGTTGCTTTTACGCCAAACATATCGTTTTGCATTGTGGCCAAAAAGTTTGATTTTGGTTTCATCTGACCAGAGCACCTTCTTCCACATGTTTGGTGTGTCTCCCAGGTGGCTTGTGGCAAACTTTAAACGAGACTTTTTATGGATATCTTTGAGAAATGGCTTTCTTCTTGCCACTCTTCCATAAAGGCCAGATTTGTGCAGTGCACGACTGATTGTTGTCCTATGGACAGACTCTCCCACCTCAGCTCTAGTTATCTGCAGTTCATCCAGAGTGATCATGGGCCTCTTGGCTGCATCTCTGATCAGTCTTCTCCTGGTTTGAGATGAAAGTTTGGAGGGACGGCCAGGTCTTGGTAGATTTGCAGTGGTCTGATACTCCTTCCATTTTAATATAATTGCTTGCACAGTGCTCCTTGAGATGTTTAAACCTTTGGGAGCTAACTATTTTATTTGCAGTCATTAAATACATTTCGAATTATAAGGGTTGTCTAATATTTGTTCAAATATGTATATATTTTTTATTTTAGAATTATATTCGAATTTTGAAGTCGAAGCCCTGGTGTTAAGCAGCGCTGTAGAGGCTAGAGGACGCAGGCTGTTCGCTTCTTGTTCTGTGAGTGGAGGAGAACGAGCGTCCCGCTAAGACTCTACTCAGCACTTTTCACTGCTTGTAATTCTTACACAGCTTAATCAATTACCTCAAGTTTTCAATTAAATGATGTATATATGATACAACTTGCTTGTAGTAAAAAGCATTTTTATGAACTACTTAGAAAAAAAATCAGGTATAGCTTCTTTAATCCCTGGTTTACTTTCAGGAAGTTCATGGGGGGCATCCAGTGAGACACAATTCATGATATTCAGGACAATGGTTAGGTCAAGGTTAGATTATGGAAGTATTTGTTATGGAGCAGTGTCTCATCTTAGCATAGGGTTACACGTTTAAATTGTGTACAGGCAAAAGCACTAAGGGTTTGCTGTGGAGCGCTCCGGTCACTTCCAATTTCAGCCTTACTTGTAGAAATGTGTGAAAGTCCCCTATCCTAAGCTACCTACTGTACCTTTGTTAAAGCTGCCTACTGTACCTTTGTTAAAGCTGCCTACTGTACCTTTGTTAAAGCTGCCTACTGTACCTTTGTTAAAGCTGCCTACTGTACATTTGGAGGAAGGTTTTCCCTGTAATGAGCCTTGATAAAACAAAGCTAACATTCAAATATTAATATAAATATTGTGAAATGCCATTTACAATGTAATATTGTAAATACAATACATAATTCGCACTATGAAAAACTCACTGTTACATTTAAGTTAGTAACAGATTTACATTTAAAACTTAGTATTAGACAGTGGAAGTTTTAGATAAATGTGTTTATGTGCACAAAAAGTTTTGACTTTGTACTGTTTTGGGTATTTTTGTAGAGAATTTTCTGGTCCGCCCAGTTAAGATCCAATTAGGTTGTATGTGACCCTTGGATCAAAATGAGTTTGACACCCCTGTTCTATAAGAAATACCGCCATAATACTGAAAACCATGATAATTTTAGACACAATATCCATATGTAACTCCTATTTATATATATATTAGGACCAGGACTTTAACGTGTTAATTACAATTAACGCCACAAAAATTAGTCCGTTAAAAAAATTGACGCATTTTAATCGTATGTGTTTTTTCCACAGCGGAACCTTCATCACTGGAGGATGAGTTTCAGACGGACCGATTATACTGGAGCGCCAACTGAGCTCCGTGACTTTTCTAGTTCAAAAGTGCATCATAACAAGTAGGGCTGGGCAATATAAACGGTATAAGCGATATAAATTTGGCCAACGGTAGAGATTTTTGTTATACCGGCATATTGCGATGGGTCATTATGTCATCAAAATGCTGGGTTGCACGTGATGAAAGTGCTCTGAGGGACAGGAAGTACGATTCCCCACTAAGTACAATGTAAACATTCACTGAGTTAAAATGCTCTTTTTCTGTGGCGTGTACAGTTGTGGCAACTACTCATAAGTGGGGAACCTATGGGGTCTACTTTGCTAAAAAATATTTCTCTAACGGATGTCAATTTTTAGGAAAATGCATAAGGAATGGGAAAAATGCGCTAGCATTAGCTTGCATAGCATCTGCGGCCACAGAGATAGATGACAGTCCAGTCTTTACTTCGCTTACTTTCATAGATACAATGCAGTATTTTTGTGTGGTATACGGTTGTAGTAGTCGAGGCAACAGAAAGAACTGTTAAATACATTTTCTAATTGCAGCTCCCGCTGTTAGCTCACTCACTCCTGTTAGCTTAACACTATTAGCGTAACGCTACAGAGTTAAGCTAATAGCAGAGTTCCCCCTGGAGCTCCGTACTTTTGGTTATTTACAGCTCAACAAATCACCGAAATGACAAAGGGTCAGATTTCTTGCTTCAAATGCCGTCTAAAGTAACATTTGTGCCATATTTATTGTGTTATTGATCAGAACTATCATCTCAGACGTGTTTCTGTTGATACCAGAGTGACACCACTGTCGTCACTATAACAGCCTTAATCTTTCTCATGGTTTAAAAAAATGGACTCATTCAAACACTAAAGCGTACGCTGCATTAAAATAGTTTCCACTCATAAGAGTGATACTAAGCCGCGAAAAGCTCCTATGTCTGCGTTTTCCAGCATTGCCCATTCTATTTGATAGGAGAAAAATACTTCCTGTCCTACGGACACATGTCCCACCCCCTTTTGGTTACATGGTTGAAACCCAGCAATGCTGTTTGGAAGTTGAAGTTTTATAATGTTCTGTATAATTGCAGTTTTTCACAATACATTTAAATAAGTAACAATCTTGACTATTTCATTCAATAACCTGCTAGACCTATATTGAAATTCACACACCAAATTATACCGCAATATGAATTTTAGGCCATATCTCCCACCCCTAATAACAAGCATAGACCAACTTTAGCGGTGTCTAAATCTGAATGAATTAGATCCATGGTTAGCGACGGGAAAAAGTGCTGTGTATGGAGCTATGGTGTGTGAGGAGCAGCAGTGACACAGGTGTGTGAGCTGCTATTGTTGATGTTTTAGTTCAAATGCACAAACATATTATAAGCTTTCGTGCTCACTTCGAGTGCAGTGGATTTTGGTCATACAAAGCGTATGTTGTGGACAGTGTGTGGAGGCAATGACAGATACGTTATTTGATGGAAAGAAGTCTGTCTGATCATCCACAATGTACATGTGTTGTTTAAAGTAGTACAGTGATTTTTGCCGTGTGGCTGCGCACCACACACTGTACGACCAAAGACCCGTGATTTTTTATCTCCCTGTGTGGGGTCTCACACAGAGAAAAATTGGCCGACAATTTTAAAATCGTCTCGTGTGAACCAGGCTTTAGCTGGAATCTGTAGGAGGTTTCACTGTCATCTGAACAAGGTATAAACATATTTTCATCCGTTTTGTACATAATAGTGTGCAACTCTTTTAACCTTTTAGTCTTATTTGTGAGATTCAAGCTAATTAGTGTTGGGCAAGTTAGCCAACTACTTGATATCATAAAACATGCTAACAAGGTTAATATTCGTTTTTACATTATGCCAGTCTCACTTTGGTTGCCTTAGATTTATTTACCACAATGTACATTGTAATATCCATAAATGCTAATCAAAATAACTTGAATTAAATAAATATTTTACTTTCATGAACAAAAAGCTGCAGAAGTTGAAAACATAGACTACATGTGATGCAATCATTGATAAAAATGCTAATTAAACCGTTAATAGGTGTTAGCATTTTTGAATATTACAATGTACATTGTGGTAAATAAATCTAAGGCAACCAAAGTGAGACTGGCATAATGTAAAAACGAATATTAGCCTTGTTATGTTTTTTGATATCAAGTAGTTGGCTAACTTGCCCAACACTAATTAGCTTGAATCTCACAAATAAGGCTAAAAGGTTAAAAGAGTTGCACACTATTATGTACAAAACGGATGAACATATGTTTATACCTTGTTCAGATGACAGTGAAACCTCCTACAGTTTCAGCCCAGACTGCTGCTGCTGCTGTGAGATGCCCTTCTCCTACGTCATCGCCGCCATTTTGGCGCCCCCTAGCGTTTCTATGCGGAAGTGAAAAGGTGCCACTTCAGAGCAGTTTTTTTTAACATAATTCATCTGAACATGTCAAAATGAGCACCCAAAATATTATAAACATTGTAGTTATATATTCTGGATAGCAGCATATTAAATTCTAGTACTACTTTAAGCTTATGTATTCAGTCATTATTCAATGGTAAACTAAAAATCCATGTGAAAAAAATTACTTCTCACTGTTCTCAGGACAAATATTTACATGCGATTAAAATGCGATTAATTAATCACAAAGCCTTTAATTAGATTATTTTTTTTAATCGAGTCCCAGCCCTAATATATGTGTGTAGTCAAGTTGTCGGTGGTAAAAAAAAAAAAAAATTCCAAAAGATATGCTGTATTAGTAGAAAGACCAACCTGGTACGACTCCATTTGTGGCGATGGCGCTCATTGAGATGGCTGTCAGCAGAGTCTGGAGAAGGGAAGAAGATAAATTAAGCTCGGGTCTGTCTCCCCCCCTCGTGTCTGCCCCTCCAGTGTCTCCGTGCCTCCATCTCAGCACCCTTTTGGACCACGTGGCTCAGCAGAATACGTACACAACAGCAGCAGATGAACACGATGCAGAGGCCCTGCAGGACCCCAGCGGAGCCCACCACCCAGGTCAGCCGCAAGAAGAGGATAACTCCAAAGATGTTCTGGAGACACGGCAAGTACACGCCCATGAACGTGCCCATCTGCGGAGACTGGGGGCAAAAGAGGCAGATACAAATGTATGAACTGCAAAAAAATTACACTAGATATTTTTCTTTAAAAAAAAAAAAAACACACACACACACCCCCTCATTGTTCACTTTGGCCTGAAACATGATTGAGAATATCAACATATGCATATACAGTGGGGCAAAAAAGTATTTAGTCAGCCACCTATTGTGCAAGTTCTCCCACTTAAAATAATGACAGAGGTCTGTAATTTACATCATTAGATACACTTCAACTGTGAGACGGAATGTGAAAAAAAAAATCCAGGAATTCACATTGCAGGATTTTTAAAGAATTTATTTGTAAATTATGGTGGAAAATAAGTATTTGGTCACTTCAAACAAGGAAGATCTCTGGCTCTCACAGACCTGTAACTTCTTTAAGAAGCTCTTCTGTCCTCCACTTGTTACCTGTATTAATGGCACCTGTTTGAACTCATCTGTATAAAAGACACCTGTCCACAGCCTCAAACAGTCAGACTCCAAACTCCACTATGGCCAAGACCAAAGAGCTGTCGAAGAACACCAGGAAAAGAATTGTGGACCTCCACCAGACTGGGAAGAGTGAATCTACAATAGGCAAGCAGCTTGTGTGAACAAATCTACTGTGGGAGCAATTACGGACCACTGATAATCTCCCTCGATCTGGGGCTCCACGCAAGATCTCATCCCGTGGGGTCAAAATGATCATGAGAACGGTGATCAAAAATCCCGGAACCACACGGGGGGACCTGGTGAATGACCTGCAGAGAGCTGGGACCAAAGTAACAAAGGTTACCATCAGTAACACTACGACGACAGGGAATCAAATCCTGCAGTGCCAGACGTGTCCCCCTGCTGAAGCCAGTGCATGTCCAGGCCCGTCTGAAGTTTGCCAGAGAGCACATGGATGATACAGCAGAGGATTGGGAGAATGTCATGTGGTCAGATGAAACCAAAGTAGAACTGTTTGGTATGAACTCAACTCGTCGTTTTTGGAGAAAGAAGAATACAGAGTTGCAGCCCAAGAACACCATACTGTGAAGCATGGGGGTGGAAACGTCATGCTTTGGGGCTGTTTTTCTGCTAAGGGGACAGGACGACTGATCCGTGTTAAGGAAAGAATGAATGGGGCCATGTATTGTGAGATTTTGAGCCAAAACCTCCTTCCATCAGTGAGAGCTTTGAAGATGAAACGTGGCTGGGTCTTCCAGCATGACAATGATCCCAAACACACCGCCCGGGTATCGAAGGAGTGGCTCCGTAAGAAGCATTTGAAAGTCCTGGAGTGGCCTCGCCAGTCTCCAGACCTCAACCCCATTGAAAATCTGTGGAGGGAGTTGAAAGTCTGTGTTGCTCGGCGACAGCCCCAAAACTTCACTGCTCTCGAGAAGATCTGCATGGAGGAATGGGCCAAAATACCAGCTACTGTGTGTGCAAACCTGGTAATAGTTTGACCTCTGTTATTGCCAACAAAGGTTATATTACAAAGTATTGAGTTGAATTTTTGTTATTGACCAAATACTTATTTTCCACCATAATTTACAAATAAATTCTTTAAAAATCCTACAATGTGAATTCCTGGATTTTTTTTCCACATTCTGTCTCTCACAGTTGAAGTGTACCTATGATGAAAATTACAGACCTCTCATTATTTTAAGTGGGAGAACTTGCACAATTGGTGGCTGACTAAATACTTTTTTGCCCGACTGTACAATAGTATAGTATAGTAGTAGATTTTTTTCAAGAATGGGGTGGAGTCAGTAGCTGGGCGATAAATCGATTTAATTATTAAGTTTAGGTTTAGGGGACGTTTGGGGGATTTCCTTTTCATGAAAATTGATGTTTTATCTCCAGCGCGGCGCTACAGTGCTAACACGCTAACGCAGGCAGTCATTTTTAAAGCTCCCAAATGCCAAGTCTCTCTTCTGTCCTGACCCTCACTCTCACAGTTGGTGCTGTTGCAAAAACACTTCAGACGTTCAAGAATCAGTCTTTATTTAATCACCAGAACACACCAACACAAACTTATATCCTGCCTGGCTCCGGTTGCTCTGCTCGTACGCCACACTTTTCATTCTTTCATTCTCATTCATTCATTTCTCAGCGCTCACGCTCGTCCAAAGCGCGCACTTGTGTCCGCGGCGCACCCGCACGTGTCCCACTGAGCTGCTGCACTTTGGAGAAATATACCTCTCCCACTTGTTCACATTGCTCTAATACAAACAATGCGTTCGATGCTCCATCTGTTGGCGCTACAGTAGCAGAATATAAACAGTAAGAGAAACGGAAACTTGCAGAAGTTAGTATTAGCGCCACCAGCTGGACCGAGTGTTGTACTACAGCACAGTTGCTCTAGCACGATTAAAAGAACAAGCATGAAAACCCAAGGAGGAGGCTATTGTAACAGACTTTCTCTGTTATAACAATTGTATTTAGAGTAATCATTAGTTTTAAAAATGTGATATTTCATGTAAATAATGCACGTGTTTACGACTGATATAATTGCTATGGCGCTCGTTTGTGCGTTTTAAGGTACTTTGAAGGTGCATTCTGTCCCTGTAAAGCCTGGTTCACACGGAAGAATAATTGGGCCGATTTTGGACCCGATTTACCCCTAACGACAATCGTAAGAACGCTCCGATTATCGTAAAAAAAATCTGATGGATTTTCCTGCCGTGGTGTCTTAAGACTCCGCTCGTTGCTCTGAAGGACTTCGGGACTGCTCCCGATTGTTTTGGCCCGATTTCTCCTCGTATGTGGTGTCCCCCGAGGACAGACGAACGCGTTGCCATGACTGCGGCGTGTAGCCAAAGACTGTATATATTAATGGGGCGGCACGGTGGCTGAGTGGATAGCACTCTTGCCTCTCAGCAAGAAGGTCCTGGGTTCGAATCCCGGTCGGACCAGGGCCTTTCTGAGTGGAGTTTGCATGTTCTCCCCATGTGTGCGTAGGTTTCCTCCGGGTACTCCGGTTTCCCCTACCACTAAAAATATGTACAATAGGTCTGGCATGCGCCTCCTGTTCGGCGACCCCGCTCCCATCTCGGTGTGGAGTGAGAGGACAAGTGCCCAAATATAACAATTGTAAAACCGCTTTGTGACTCTGGTCTGTGAAAGGCGGTATATAAATAAAGATTACTTACTTACTTACTAATGGACTTCTCTGCCGTTCTAACTAATGGGCCAACAAATGTGCTCTACTGGAGCAATCCAAAATGGCTGCGAGTGGTCCCGCCCACGAGAAAATTGTGAAAAAACGCATCTGCGCATGCGTCAGCCGGCGCAACTCCATTCATTTGAACGAGAGACTTAAATTCACAGCAAGTAAACTAGAGTGGACCAAAACAATTCACCCCCCCCCAGCATTGACACACATGTGGAACGGAGCTTTGGGCCAAGAGCCAACTTTTGGTCCATCCTGTAAAGACGTTTTTGAGAGGTCTACCAATGCTATATGTTAGCATTGGCTAATTCTACTTCTGGGTCCATCCCCATCGGCCCGGGGTGGTATTGCAAGCATGTCAGCGCAGGTCATTTTGGCCACTTTTGAGCCAGGACCCTCCCCCACTGGGCGCACCAGAAAGTTCGGTGGACATCAGAGATGGAGGAACAACTAGTTGACCTCTGGCAACACCGTGAATGTATGACTTCTCGTGTAAAGAATATCATAACCGAAATGACAAGGAGAGGAATTGGACAGAAATTGCTGCTGCACTTGAGATACGAGGTAGTGTTGGCATAAGCCCTATTCGGACGGGATTAGTACACTAAATGATCACTGATGGGTTGTGTTTGTACGTTTACTTTGCATCGTGTCCTAATACAGTACAGACGCGTTGGTTTGCGCGTATGTAGTTAACTTTTCATGTCTAGTATAATATGCGGTCCGTTCACAGGTAGTCCGTACAAACTGCATTGTTGAACAGCACAGACAGTACGGGCCAGAGAACTGTACAGCAGTAAAATCCACATGTATGTGTTTATCCTCATGGTCTCAGTGGCTGCTGTGGTCAGACGCCAGTCTCTATGGGCTGCGTGAAGCAGCCCTTACGTCAGATGTCAGTGAAAATTAGACATTATCCCGTGTGAAAGCACTGATCTCAGATGTCCTACGTGATTCTCACAAATTACCAGGGGTCCACAGGTACAGTGCCTTGCGAAAGTATTCGGCCCCCTTGAACCTTTTAACACGCCACATTTCAGGCATCAAACATAAAGATATAAAATTTTAATTTTTTGTCATGAATCAACAAGTGGGACACAATCGTGAAGTGGAAGGAAATTTATTGGATGATTTAAACTTTTTTAACAAATAAAAAACTGAAAAGTGGGGCGTGCAATATTATTCGGCCCCTTTACTTTCAGTGCAGCAAACTCACTCCAGAAGTTCAGTGAGGATCTTTGAAGGATCCAATGTTGTCCTAAATGATTGATGATGATAAATAGAATGCACCTGTGTGTAATCAAGTCTCCGTATAAATGCACCTGCTCTTTGATAATCTCAGGGTTCTGTTTAAAGCGCAGAGAGAACCATGAAGACAAAGGAACACACCAGGCAGGTCCGAGATACTGTTGTGGAGAAGTTTAAAGCCGGATTTGGATACAAAAAGATTTCCCAAGCTTTACACATCAAGGAGCACTGTGCAAGCAATTATATTGAAATGCGCCTCCTGTACTGGCGAACCCGCTCCCATCTCTGTGTGGAGTGAGTGGACAAATGCCCAAAAAATAACAATTATAAAACGCTTTGTGACTCTGGTCTGTGAAAGGCGGTATATAAATAAAGATTACTTACTAAGTATCCCAAGCCCAACCCTAGTGGGAATGCAAAATAACTGCGCCGTTTTGCACCGTTACTGTGGAAAAGCGGCATAAGATCAGATGGTCAATGTCCCTCATGTGGTCCTGAGGGACATGATCAGTAATGACACTTGCTTCTTTAAACACTCTAATCTCAGACAATTTTCATTTCATTATTTTTTTTTGAACTGGAAACGGCTGCAAGTCCTAAGTTGCTCTAAAAGTTGTTTTCTGCCTGAGATGTTGCTGCAGTACAGTGTTCATGGTTTTACACTGGTCCAGACCGGAGCGGAGAGGATTCATGGTCCGAACCAAGCGGATCAGGTGAAAATCCACTGGAGGAATGCTAACATTTAAAAAAATGCTAATGAAGCATTTAGAATTTTACTTTGGACCAGAGCAGAGAAAAGGGTCCGAATCAAGCGGATACTCCACCTTTTGACCAGTCCTGCTCCACCCAGAGGCTACTCAATCTGTGCTGCTGTGACCCGTTCTGCTCCACCCAGAGGCCACTCAATGTGGGCTGCTGTGACCTGTCCTTCTCCACCCAGAGGCTACTCCATCTGTGCTGCTATGACCCGTCCTGCTCCACCCACAGGCTACTCCATCTGTCTCACCACCTGCAGCAGAATCAGTGAGGGGCTGGTGCTCAGTGAATTGGGAGCAGCTTTGACTGCCACCCCTCCCCGACCCAGAAATGGATTAAGGGGAAGAAGATGGATGGATGGAACATTGAGAATATTTAAATGAATACATAATATTTGTGCTAGTTCGACTTCAGTCTCATAATATTATTAAAGTCAAAATGTTATGACTTTAATCTCAGTCTGGCAAAAGAAGAAAAAAGGGTGACTCTTTGGCTGTTGATTATCATTCTTCATGTAGCTCTCTTAGCGCTGCAAGTACCGTGGCATTGCTAGCATCAACCTGGTCTGTTTGGGAGCTAATGCAAGTTTTTGCTACCAAAGAACTCTTGTTGAGATTTGGGCATTTCGTCGACCAATATGTCCCTATATGATTCAAGTCCCTGTTGTTAATCAGATCGAAAGAGGGAGATTTAGAAAGTTTCGGGGGGAAAAGGAGAGAGGATTCCCGAAGCGGATAGTCTACTCCAAGCGCTACACCGAAGATCCAGTCACATTTGGCTTTTAAAGTTGAGTTGTACCTTGGTGGGCTTCCTCCTCTCTCCGATGCTCTCCGCCTCCTCGTGCTCCTTCGCTCCCTGGGTGAGGTTTGTGTAGTTGGCCAAACGGTTGAGTAAAGATGAGACTTTGGGCCGAGTGTCCATTTCCTCCTAGAAAACCAAACACAAGATATAATAAGATACTTTATTGATCTCACACTGGAGAAATTTACAAGCCAGAATAAAAGGACGAAAGAAACAGGCTCTTTTTTCTTACATGTATCCAAAAAAGAAGGGTTTTCCAGTGACGTGTAGTCAAGGGAGGCCCAGCCTCATTGCCAAAAGTGTCTCAGGGTTCAAAGGATTCTACATAAGTGAAGTACTAGGGCCGACTGCACGTGTGCTTGGAGCCGCACAACTATGATGATGGCTGCTGCTGCTCCTGCTACTACTACCACTAAACAATTAGGTCTAAATCGATCATGCATTTATTTTTTATATTAACATTTTTATCTATAATGTTCAGATTTTTTAAAAAAAATTATATATATATATATATATATATATATATTTATTTATACAGTGCCTTGTGAAAGTATTCGGCCGCCTTGAACCTTTCAACATTTCGCCACATTTCAGGCTTCAAACAGATATAAAATTTTAATTTTTTGTCATGAATCAACAACAAGTGGGACACAATCGTGAAGTGGAACGAAGTTTTTTGGATAATTTAAACTTTTTTAACAAATAAAAAACTGAAAAGTGGGGCGTGCAATATTATTCGGCCCCTTTACTTTCAGTGCAGCAAACTCACTCCAGAAGTTCAGTGAGGATCTTTGAATGATCCAATGTTGTCCTAAATGACTGATGATGATAAATAGAATGCACCTGTGTTTAATCAAGTCTCCGTATAAATGCACCTGCTCTTTGATAGTCTCAGGGTTCTGTTTAAAGCGCAGAGAGAACCATGAAGACAAAGGAACACACCAGGCAGGTCTGAGATACTGTTGTGGAGAAGTTTAAAGCCGGATTTGGATACAAAAAGATTTCCCAAGCTTTAAACATCTCAAGGAGCACTGTGCAAGCAATTATATTGAAATGGAAGGAGTATCAGACCACTGCAAACCTACCAAGACCCGGCCGTTCCTCCAAACTTTCATCTCAAACAAGGAGAAGACTGATCAGAGATGCAGCCAAGAGGCCCATGATCACTCTGGATGAACTGCAGATAACTACAGTTGAGGTGGGAGAGTCTGTCCATAGGACAACTATCAGTCGTGCACTGCACAAATCTGGCCTTTATGGAAGAGTGGCAAGAAGAAAGCCATTTCTCAAAGATATCCATAAAAAGTCTTGTTTTAAAAATTTGCCACAAGCCACCTGGGAGACACACCAAACATGTGGAAGAAGGTGCTCTGGTCAGATGAAACCAAAATCGAACTTTTTGGCCACAATGCAAACCGATATGTTTGGCATAAAAGCAACACAGCTCATCACCCTGAACACACCATCCCCACTGTCAAAATGGTGGTGGCAGCATCATGGTTTGGGCCTGCTTTTCTTCAGCAGGGACAGGGAAGATGGCTAAAATTGATGGGAAGATGGATGGAGCCAAATACAGGACCATTCTGGAAGTAAGTAATCTTTATTTATATTGGGCAATTGTCTCTCACTCCACACAGAGATGGGAGCGGGGTCGCCAGTACAGGAGGCGCATGCTAGAACTATTGGACATATTTTTAGTGGTAGGGGAAACCGGAGTACCCGGAGGAAACCTACGCAGACACGGGGAGAACATGCAAACTCCACTCAGAAAGGCCCTGGTCCAACCAGGATTCGAACCCAGGACCTTCTTGCTGAGAGGCGAGAGTGCTATCCACTAGGGTTGGGCGATATGGGCCTCAGCATGTATCACGATTTTTGTTGGTATGTATCACGATATGACGATATGATAATTTTAACAAAGCCTCATATAAAAGCTATAAAAACTTAGCACTGATAATTTTAAACACACTTGCCTCAAAGTGCATTTACTGATTTATTGGCAGCAAAATGTGTAATACAGCTATTGTATATAAAACGTATTAACAAAACTGAATTGTAGAGAATTCTGTTTTGTACATACTGAAAATTGCAGGTAACATGTAATAAAGGTGAACATTTGTAATTTGTAAAATATATACAAGTTTGTCCTTTGTAATATAAAAAGTGTAGCATTATCAAATAATTTTTTGATCACTTTGGCTTATGTTTCCTAATCCCAATATAGTCAAAATGATCAAATACTGTATATATTTTTTGTATCCTTTTGCGTTTCTATAATTATGTAATTATAACTTATTTGTAATTATATTGCAATGTAGACAAACACATGCATTGAAGTAAAATGAATGACAGTAAACAGTAAATAAAGCTTACCAATGGCACTATGAGAGAGAGAGAGAGCGAGCGAGTGTCCGAAGCAAGCCACTCGAGTCCAGTTGTTTAGGGCAGCTGCTTTCACAACATTAGATCCACTGTCGATAGTTACACACAATTGCTTCTTTTTATCTAGTTCCCAAACTACTCCCATATGTTTGAGGTAGCTCCGCGTTTTGGCACAATGTCTTCTACAATCTGCATGTCTTCACCATGGTCTTCACCGCCGCCCTCAACCATGTTTGCTCTCTGCTCTGTTGTTGTTGTCCCTGCACGCCGCTCTGCTACACGTGCCGCGCAGATGCATCATCAAAGTGCGCCGCACACAAACGTGTCTTCCGCTCGCTGTTTTCAGTGTTAAATGATTGTTTTCACCGGTATAAGGCATTTTCTTATCATTTAATTTACTTATACCGGTATACCGGTACAAAAAAAATATCGCCCAACCCTACTATCCACTCAGCCACCGTGCCGCCCAAGAAAACCTGTTGGAGTCTGCAAAAGACCTGAGACTGGGACGGAGATTTATCTTCCAACGGACAATGATCCAAAACATAAAGCCAAATCTACAATGGAATGGTTCACAAATAGACGTATCCAGGAGTTAGAATGGCCAAGTCAAAGTCCAGACCTGAATCCAATCGAGAATCTGTGGAAAGAGCTGAAGACTGCTGTTCACAAACGCTCTCCATCCAACCTCACTGAGCTCGAGCTGTTTTGCAAGGAAGAAAGGGAAAGAATTCCAGTCTCTCGATGTGCAAAACTGATATACCCAAAGCGACTTGCAGCTGTAATTGCAGCAAAATGTGGCGCTACAAAGTATTAGCGCAAGGGGCCGAATAATATTGCACGCCCCACTTTTCAGTTTTTTATTTGTTAAAAAAGTTTAAATTATCCAATAAATTTCATTCCACTTCACGATTGTGTCCCAGTTGTTGTTGATTCATGACAAAAAAAAATAATTTTATATCTTAGTTTGAAGCCTGAAATGTGGCGAAATGTTGAAAGGTTCAAGGGGGCCGAATACTTTCGCAAGGCACTGTATATACAGTAGGTCCCATTTTGTTTTGTCGTCTTCACTCACGCTTTTCATGAATCACACAGCTGCGTGAAACATATTACATTTTATCGCCACTAGCGCTTTAGCTCTGCCAGCGACTTAAACTTTCAGGTATAAGACTGCGTGCAAACTTGTTTTGCCTAGTGATACTATGTTGGCCGAATGGTTAGCGTTGCAGGTTAGGACCTGGGGGATCCGGGTTCGATTCTTGTCTGAGGCAGTTTTGGTTGCACACCTTTTGGTTGCTTGTGTGCAATTACGTAACGTTATCAGCTTGTTATCTTCTTTCCTTGTCAAAAGGAAATGTCATGTTGTAAAATTGGCATTTTTATTCCTGCAGTTTGGTTGGTGCTGATTATGGAGTTGAATTCCAATTGTATTTAAAGTTTACATGTTTATCAAGCTCCACGTGCACCGGTCTGCGCTACACTCACCTGAGAGAGAGAGAGAGAGGGAAGAGAGAGAAGAGAGAGACAGAGAGAGAGAGGTGTTGTAATGCTTGCAGCCTTAGCTCGTGTGCGAAGGACAAACCTGCTGTTTACACAAAACTAAGAACTCTACAGACTAAAGGCGCGTTCAGACCAAAAGCTTCAAAAAGCTTTTGACGCGCTTCAACTGACGCCGGGATAGTTTTGTCATTTTGGTGCTTGAAGCTTTTGACGCGAGTGACGCGAGTGACGCCGGTGGGAGGAGCTTCTCTGTGGTCTGTGGGAGGAGCTTCTCTGTTGCCTGTGGGAGGAGCTTCTCTGTTGCCTGTAGTCAGGACAGCGGTGGATTTTTCAATGAGCAGCGAGCCTTTATTTGTTATATAAAGCAAAATAACGTTGTTGTAGGGCTTCAACAAAACATGTTCTGGGTTCACCACAGACTTGAGAGGCTGCAGTGTTTGCAGAGTTCCGTCATTTACTCCAGGAGCTGCGTACGGAGGAGTTTCGCTTTCAGCGGTACTTCCTTATGTCACTCGCCCAGTCTGAGTTCTCAAACCCCGGAGCTCGCCTCTCCCCGCCTCGCTCTCGCCTCTCCCCGCCTCGCTCTCGCCTCTCCCCCGCCTCGCTCTCGCCTCTCCCTGCCTCTCCCTCGCCTCTCCCCCGCCTCTCTCTCGCCTCTCCCTGCCTCTCCCTCGCCTCTCCCTCGCCTCTCCCTGCCTCTCGCTCGCCTCTCCCTGCCTCTCCCCGGCTCTCGCCCGCCCGGAGCTGCCTTGCTCTGAGCCAGACTCATCGTCAGCCTGTTCTTATATTAAATAAACTACGTTTACTACACAGCATGTGTACAATGATTTTTGTTACTCAGAACGTTACTACTCAAACAAATTAATATTACTGATAATAATGACAATAAAACAGCAGCAGCAGACACATGACTTATCTCCATGACAGAGACAGACCCTCTGCTGCTGGTGCTCCTCGTCTCCTGATTGGTTGAAGCCCGCGTCAAAGTTTCAAAAGCTCAGCTTTGGCGTCAAAGGGATTGTTTTGATACGCGAGCGTTTCGCGCGTCAAAAGCTTCAAGTGAGCGCGTATTACGCGCGACTTTTGAAGCTTTTGACGCGCATCAAGTGACGCCGGGGCTCTCGGCTTCACCTGACGCGCTTCACCATTCACTTTCTTTTTTTGAACTTGTTTTTATTATAAATGGTGCAAGTTACACTTATTTACAAAATAGCAATCAGACAAGAAATATAGGTACAGTTACC